ACTGTAAATAATTTGATTCATACAAATGATTTTTGCAATAACAAATGATTTATAATCAACAAATTTAAAAATCTTTGCACAAAATAGAAAAGTTTTCATTCCGATACAACTATTTGCTATAGAATAATCGCTGGACATACGTAAAAAGCACGTACTCATCGAACTGAGAACGAATAACTAATGATACGTTCGTGTGACCTGCTCTATTTAAGGTTATAATTGTATAACCTTATTTAATTGTACAACAAAGCATGCCTCAGCTGAATCCAATGCCCGTACTCATATAAATACATCAGTGAAAAGGTAACGCACGTTGCCAATGATGAATGTTCCTGGTACATGTGTGAGTTTTAATCTATTATACGGCAATATATTTTTTACAACTTACGTTGTTTCAACGCTCGTATGCTTCGACGCTTGTATGCTTCGACGCATTAATATGATAAAACTCTTATCTGTAACATGCATCTTTCTTATTAATTCACTTCGTATCGTACGAATAAATAGATAACAGTGATTTACAATAATATTACATAAAACATATTTATATATGTATAAATATCAATTTTATATTCTACAAGCCTAGGAAAATTAACAACAAATAATAATAGCACAAATGGTAAACATAATCACTATACTAAATATTAACATATTAATGAAAATCATTTGTAATTCAATATTTCCATTATTTCATGAAAGTATTCTTCCAGGTAACAAATTAGTACAAAGCAACGAGCGGTCCTTCTACATGTTTAACGATCGTTGTTAACGATAATAAGCAAAATTGCATCGATGCTAGACATTCTGCATTACTTTAGTATTTTTAATCCATGTATTATTATTGAGCCATAATATATAAAGCATAGACGCAAGAGACCATAGCGCGTTGGCCAAAGTAATCTTACAATTGACAGATACATTATACAAAATTTTATGTACCATGGTGGAAATTCCGTCTAATTCAACAATTAACTTTCATTTCTATTACAAATCACTGGTCAAACAGAAAGAAAACGTGACTGTCAACGGTGCTTACATACGCTGAAACACTGATGCGATGAACGCATCAACGTATTCTGTTCTTTTATGATGTATATTGGCTTGCATCGATGCAGAAAGTAATATATTTTCTTAATTGGTAAGCAAAGCCAATGGGTATATATTAAGTATATATTGATATACTGATATCATTTCATGAGACTTTGGAGTCGATGCGTGGCGTCATTACAATATGCTTCAGCTTGTACAGGCTGCTTAACGAATTTTCTACGCTAGACTATACTAGAACTTTTGTCCCGATGCTGTTCGGGCAGTAAGGGACATATGCAAAATTACTCCCTTTTCACTATGTTGCCAATTTGTGTAAGAATATATATACACACAGGCACGCGCACACGCACACGAATGCAAACGTGTATCTGTGCCTTGTTATAACTGTGTGTGGAAAAATTTTGTACATAAACTCACAGCAGCAATAGTTTTCATAACGCATGCACAAATTTAAACCTGGGCATGAGGGTGCACGAGCGTTAAAACAGACATACGTTTTACAGTCATTTCGTACGTACATAGAAGTCACGGCATACGAGCGTTGCCTGTTTTGCAGAGTTGGCGTCGAAGTGCTAAATTTATAGTTCTCAAAAATAACGATTGTTCTTGACTGTGGCGTAAACCATGTTTAACGGAACGTTCGCGACATTGTGTTGTAAAACACTAATAATATTTCTTTTTAATCTGAATCGATATCGAAGTGCGTTAAAAACTGTAAATAATTTGATTCATACAAATGATTTTTGCAATAACAAATGATTTATAATCAACAAATTTAAAAATCTTTGCACAAAATAGAAAAGTTTTCATTCCGATACAACTATTTGCTATAGAATAATCGCTGGACATACGTAAAAAGCACGTACTCATCGAACTGAGAACGAATAACTAATGATACGTTCGTGTGACCTGCTCTATTTAAGGTTATAATTGTATAACCTTATTTAATTGTACAACAAAGCATGCCTCAGCTGAATCCAATGCCCGTACTCATATAAATACATCAGTGAAAAGGTAACGCACGTTGCCAATGATGAATTTTCCTGGTACATGTGTGAGTTTTAATCTATTATACGGCAATATATTTTTTACAACTTACGTTGTTTCAACGCTCGTATGCTTCGACGGATTAATATGATAAAAATCTTATCTGTAACATGCATCTTTCTTATTAATTCACTTCGTATCGTACGAATAAATAGATAACAATGATTTACAATAATATTATATAAAACATATTTATATATGTATAAATATCAATTTTATATTCTACAAGCCTAGGAAAATTAACAACAAATAATAATAGCACAAATGGTAAACCCACTCACTATACTAAATATTAACATATTAATGAAAATCATTTGTAATTCAATATTTCCATTTTTATAAAATAAAATATGTAAATGAAATTTAATTGTAAGATGATCACATTCGTATAAACTCATTACTCTACAACGGAGCAATTAAATATTATATTGATAACGATAATAAGCAAAATTGCATCGATGCTAGACATTCTGCATTACTTTAGTATTTTTAATCCATGTATTATTATTGAGCCATAATATATAAAGCATAGACGCAAGAGACCATAGCGCGTTGGCCAAAGTAATCTTACAATTGACAGATACATTATACAAAATTTTATATACCATGGTGGAAATTCCGTCTAATTCAACAATTAACTTTCATTTCTATTACAAATCACAAGTTTGCGTCACAACGGCCAAAGAAGCAAATCTTACTTTGTCATATTGAAATAGTTAAAGAAAGTGGTACATAAACATTAATTTAATATGTTATATTAACGAAGATTTATAGAAACAAAGTATATTATTCAATACGGTCAAAGTTCTCTTATCGAATGATGTTTCAAAAGGTACTTACGTCCAGTGATGTTTCAAAAGGTTCTTACGTCCATTTTGTTGTCCAATTTTATATCCACGGAGATTGCATCAACGGGGCGTACGCAAATTAACACTCGAGCTATTTGCTTTATGAAATTATTATTATTATTAGACCAACTGCTTGCCTGTGCACAAAGAAAATCTATGATTAGTGAGTAGTAGACTTTAATAATATCTTCAAAGAACAATTCGCGTTTTCCTTAAAATATGTCATAACTGTACGATAACAGTAGCAACTTGTAAATAAATATAGAAATTGTATGAAATACAGTTATCAAATATATTTAACAAAACTGTAATTATTTAATAAAAAGTCGTGAAATTAATGAAAAGCAGAAGACAATGGAAAATATTTCAGGTTAACGTGTCATACATGATCTTAAAAGTTGTTTACATTCACTTATTATTCACTTATTATTCACTTATTATTCACTTGCATCCAGAACATGTTTTCCTTTGTTAATAGTTCGTGTCAAGATAGAATGTAAATTTTTTTTATACACATATAAACTTGCACAGAGAGAAAAAATACCGTTCAAACTAGGACACCACCATGAGCAGTACTGTGGGCATTAAAATGGCATCACCCACTAGTAGCAAACATGCCGCTCAGTTCAGACAGATTCACGTGGCTACAGCGCATGCGTGTTACTGAGTAGATGTTCTGACTAAGTTCACGTTATGTCCAATATAAGTTTCTTCTTCACGTTTCTACATAAACTCACGTTATATATGTATGTATATCTGTGTATCTAAGAAGCAACATCAATACACGTCAATGAATATCTGATTATTCCTGAATAATAAGTATTGTGAGAATCGCATTCGTATACACAGGTCTGTAAACTCCAGAAGGGGGGGGGGGGGACGGGGGGCGGGGGGGGGGGGGGGGGGGGGGGTAATGCTCTTAATATTCGGAAATATGCTTTACAAATCGGCCGTTAGTCGTAGCGCTGGCATTGATTTGTTAACACCATTGTTTGCATTATCACAGAAGGTAAAGAATATAAACTAAATTGCTTTTTATAATTTTCATCAATATACTTAAAGTAGACATACAGTATTTCACGTGATACAAAAGAATGTTGTTTAAATAAATGTAGTTTTACATAAGGGGGGCTAAGGTTAATTCGTACAAAAAAGGCATGTATTTGTGAATTTTTTGTGACGTCAGAGTTAAAATCTCTTTATTAAAATCAATAGTAAATTAAAGTATGACATTCGAAGAATATTGTTTAAAATTTTCACGGAGAAATATTTAAAAATACGGCAATGGCAGAGTTACGTCGGGCGACCCTGTACCTAGACCAGGCCATACACCGCGGGTCAGATGGAAACCAGATGTCCACTCATCCTTACTGCGTACCCTCAATAGTCTTAAGGTCTCATCATAAATCTCAGTAATTTGCTAGCTAAGGTCCTTCAGACACAGCAAATATCTTTTTTCTAAATCACTTTCTAAAGCGTATTGCCTACTACGGCTTTTTATTTTATTTATTTGTTTGTTAAAATTACAATCAATTCTCGCGTTGAGAATTTTCAGTAATTTTTCTGGCGTGGCGCAGTGACATGGCTGATTATTTATAATAAGTTAATACTTATTATAGATAAATATAATTTATAAGTAAGTATTATAAATAAGTGAATATTGCTTAATTTTTGATAACTAAATGAATCTAGCGTTTAGGTCTAGCGGGTAGTGCCTGTTCAGCCTGCGAATCTGGTCTGTCGTATCAAGTAGTCCAGTAATTATGGGGTTTCGGTGCTTGTTGAATCTTTTGCTATATCTGTCGCTATATTTTGCTATTTCCTCTTTGACTATGGGTATCTTGAGGTCGCAATGGATTGTTTCGTTGGTAACATATCAAGGTGCGTCTATTAAGGATCTTAGCGTTTTCGATTGGAAGCGTTGAAGTATTTAAATGTTGGAGTTACTTGCAGTTCCCCATAGTTGGATTCCGTAGATCCAGACAGGTTTTATTACGGT